TACTAGAAAATGACTTTTGCCAATAGCAGGAAGCATTACAATCGTAGCTCCTTCACTACATCCTAACATGGAGAACAGGAGGAGAATAATCAACAGAGCGGACATTTTTTCGCCATGAATGAGCTAGCGATGGACGAATGTCACGTAAGTCAGTAGGGGTCACACAATTGCCTAGCCACAGGACAACCAATCGTGTCGTTGGAACCAGCGACAACAAAGTTTGCGTGTTTAAATTTCGAGAAGATATATTTTTCAATCGCAAAAAACGCGAAATTAAAGACCCGTTAAATTAAGGACCAATCGGGAGTACATAGTTTGCTGTAAACCTGTCGTGCGCTTTCCGCTTCATATTATAACTCTACACACAGCTGTTTGTCTTATAAGATGAGGTGAAGTGAACCAATTATAATCAGCCATTTCTTCTAGTCTTTGTTTACTTATAGGAAATATTATGTAGCGCCTTTTGCAGTTTGCCTCATGTTATCAAGGGTGGAACTTGCAGGATGTCTAATACAAGGAAAGGAAATTCAGGAACGGGGAATGAGGAACGATCACGTAGAAAAGGAAAACATAATAAAATATGGGAACAAATTAAAATAGAAAATCGGCAATGGGGCTTTTGATAGAAAGGTTTTTGTTCTCATTTTCCCTTCCTCAGTTCCCTGTTTCCCGTTTCCCATTTCCCGTTTCCCGTTCCCGTTCCCGTTCTCATTTTCCTTTCCTCCTTTTAGTTAAAAAAAATTATCCGATCTTGCGGATATTGTTTTTTTCAAAGACAAATGAAACTAATTTATGTAAACAGAAATTTGGGTTTTTCCATGCGAGGCCACGTTTTTGTTTTCCTTTGTGACTGTCGACAAACAAGATGCAGGTGGGGCGAGATAAAGGATAAAGGAGCATCTTTTATTTTTAAACTCAATTATTTTTTATCCAAAGGGCCAGGAGACCTCAGGGTTACAAGTTTCAGTATGGAATCGTTCACAAACACCAGCCTTGATCGTCAAACGAAAGGTAAGAATTTTTAATCAAAAGGTCATTTTCAGTAATTTTTTTTCTAATGTATTGACTATTTTCTGTGAAATCATTAAGTACCAGATAAACAAAGGGCTTGAAAAACTTTAAAAAAGGGTTTTATGATCAAGGGAATAGATTAGAAGACGCTATGGCTGTTAAGGGCCAAAAGGTTAAAACCACTTCTGGCTATACATTGTACGTATTTGTATGTCTATAAGCTATGCCGCGTTGCGTGGACCTCTGCATTCAAACAGTTTTAACTATGTCAACTCTATATAGTCGAGGAGCAGATTTCTATAAGAGGCCCAAAAAATGGGTTACGCAGCACCCCCACCACACAAAAGGTTTAAAAACAGATTCAGATCGCCAAATACCCACAGATCACTTATTCGACATTCGGATCTACAAATTGTGACTTGGTACGCTGCGATTTTTTGAGGGTGGTGGGGAGGTATTTTGAAGCATCAAATTTCAGCATTTTTGTATGGGGGGTCAAAACTTTGAACAACCATATCTTTTTACTTAATCAGGCAAATGGGTTAGTATTTGGCCGACACGTGTCAATCCATAAGAGCTACAATCTCAGATGTATTTTGTGTTTTTTTTTTGCGTTGCCATGTTAACGGTTTATAAGGAAACTGTGTCCATGGGATCTAACGTCAATAATAACGGATGTTTTGACTTCCGCGACAAATATACATTGCCGATATACTTAGAATGTGCTTACAATTGATATTTACTAATTCTCGAGAACTGTTGGTATAAGATTTTTTGCAAATTTGCAAATCAAACCATTGCATTGTCTTGTAACGAATCATGAAAGTTGTCATAATTGCCTCTAAACCCGTGTAAGGAGATATTTCCCATGAATTCTTTGTTTGCCTCGAATTTCATATCTAGCCTTTAAATATTCCCTTTGAAGTTGCGTTAGCCGTAATTTACATTGAATTTGCATAGAGTTGTTTTAGTTCCCTTAAATTATACACATTTTACCTCAATGTTTACTTTTAAAAGCTAAAGGATAATTTGTTTCTGGATAATTATACGGCTTAGTCACTGAATAACTGGATCTTTCGCCTGTTCAAATACCAACCGTTCTTAGTTTTTTAGTTTTGACATTTTGAGGGATCCTGAGCAAAGGAAACTCGAATTCTTTTGCACAGCTTTACTGCTGAATCTTCGTAGGTTTCCTAAATTCACTTGCTTGACTGACATTTAATTTTGAGTTATTTAGTTTAACATATGGATTTTAAAATTGAATTTATCCAAATTTGTTTTCGCTGTTCAGTTGATTTTATTCAGCCTTCTTTCCTTTTGTTTTGTGATGTTGTAATAGATTGATCGCTTAGTATAAATAGAGCATTGTTATTCCTGTTTTTCGATTTACATTGCGAAGTTATATGCTTGTACGATTTACATTGCGGATTTATTTGATTGTATGATTTACTTTCACGAACTGAACATTAAACTGTTGAAGTCCGCTAAAGAAAAATTACAAAATGTGCCCCAATTTGAGATGGATTTTGTGTTGAATTTTGCCATGTGTTCAGTCGATTTCATTTGCGTGAACGCGGATCCACGATCCAGATAGTGTTTTCCCAATTGCTTTAAAGGATTAACTTTTTGGATTTTGAATAAAAATTTTCAACAAACGGCTTCTCTGTCCATTGTTTTGAGTTTGCTCTTTCATAAAATTAGCTCAAAACACGATCGTGACTACAACATCGAAGCTGAATTTAAGCTTAAATGCTTCTCACATTCATTACACGCATCACTTTTTGCGAAGATGTCAGGTTCAGGTTTTGGACACTTTTCGATACGCAGCGAATCAATTTTATTCGAAAATATTTTTTACTGTTTATTCTAGACTTTTAATATAAGGATTTTAAAAGCCTATTTGCAATATAAGTTGTGCAGAGTGTCAACGAGGCATCGATTTTTGAAGTGAAAACTTCAAGAAGTTGCGAGAACGTCAAAGGGTTTCATAATGTTACGTTTGGCCCGGGTGGTAAGGCAACAATATCCTGCTCATTGTTTCGGTAAGATTCCAGATTTCAATCTTTGAAAGTTTTGTCGGCTTGCGGGAACCTGAAGTAAAATTACGTGACGTTGTTTGCGAAGTTTGATTGGTCAGTTATCTTTTTTTCTCCTTCCAAATATGGTACCTTCGAAAATGAATAATCACGAGCATCGGACAAAGCAAACATATGAGAGTTACACGTTTCAACCCCTTATGTGTTTCTGCTCTAAACCCAATTTTCCTATTGGCCACCAATTAAAACACCAATTAAAACAATTAGAACTGTTGGTATAAGATTTTTTGCAAATTTGCAAATCAAACCATTGCATTGTCTTGTAACGAATCATGAAAGTTGTCATAATTGCCTCTAAACCCAATTTTCCTATTGGTACCAATTAAAACCTTTGAAAAATCATATCTTAAAGACTAATGGCATTGTTCAACGATGCAACTATGGAAAGTCATGTAACTTTACAAGCTCTTTCATTTTAAAAGATTTTCGCGAGATGATCCTTGTTTCCGTGGCAACGGTTGCTAAGATGTGTTTTTTGTAAGCAATGCTCCTTTTAAAGGAGATCGAACAGAGATATGGGTTAAATAAGCAATTTAAAACAAAAGTTAATAGAAAAATGAAATAAGTTGACTCCCTTAAACTTTTTCCTCATATGCCTTAAGATACAATCATTTGGCTAAAATGTAATACAGTATCAACACAAACAAGTCTTTATAGGTATTTTTTTTCGCGTGTGTCTAGAAATGTTAATAACTGCAGAATCTTTAGTAAAGACCTTGTATACAAATACATATTTTTTGAAACGGCATTGTTATATTTGACGTTATTATTATCTCTGTGTCTTGAGAGGGTGTTCGCTTTCTTTCATGAGTATTGTACTGAAATTTAATACAAAATTATTGAAATACTTAATTTTTTAGTTGCTTAGATTTTGTATAATTTGCAGTAAAGCTCTTAAAGCTTTTACAATCAACTTTTATGAGGGTTATTTTTTTCGTAAATCCTCTTAAGTTGATTTCTTATCCATCCCCCCTTTTCATTCCCATGATGCCTTTGATGCATATCCCAAATTGCTTTGCAAGTAGCATCCGCCATCTTAACTGCGGGAATGATTAGATCTTCAAAAGGTAAGAATTATTTTTTTTTTTTGCTTCCATTTTGCTACTTTTATTCGCGTTAAACACTTATTTTTTATTGTTGACGTGCTACGTGTTGGTTAAAAGATTTTTCATAGTTGATTAAGAAAATGGAGCTCATGAACTAAAGAAAATTATTCTTTATAATCTCTGTAAGTTCTTTGAGCAAATCGAAAACAATAGTCCTTGTTTTTATAACCAATACAATATAAACTGAGCCATTGATCTTTAAAACATGTAATTTGATTATAAATTGTAAAGGAATTACTTTTTTTTAGATTTACATATACTGTATATATAGAGAATTTCCCAATCACTTAAAAACTTTTTGTCGGTAAAATTGTGATACATAGTTTTCCTCCTTTAAAATATTAGATATGGCGGATTCTGAAGATGAGCCACAAGAAGTCAAGAAGCCAAAATTAGACAGGACTTCCAGGTCCACTTATGAAAGTGTAGACTGTTCAATATGTATATTTCGCCAAAAAAAAGAAGTACAAAGGCGTAAAAGAGCTTATAAGTGTTGCCAGCTTTGGCGGATTCTTGTCAAGCGATTGTAGATGCTGCCATTGCTCGTGATGACCAGCGATTACTTTTAAATATCAAAGGCGTTGATTTGATAGCGAAAGACGCGAAGTATCACGGAAAATGTCGAAGCAAATATGTCAGTAAGACAAACCTAAAATGTCTCAGCTACAAGGAAGACAATGAAGAGGAGAAGTGTGTGTATTCCGCAGCGTTTGCTATGTTAGTGGATGAAATTACTCCTAGGTTATCTGAAGGAAAGATATATGACATGAGCCATTTGCTAGACCGCTATAAGCAGGTATTGGAAGTCAAAGGCATTTCTTGCAGCAATTATCGCAGCGAAAAGCTCAAAAGAAGAATGAGAGGCCATTTCTTAGAGCAAATAGAAGCAGAA